GGCAGGAGGGACTTTTGGCCGGGCTCATGGACTTCCACGCCCCACTGCCGTCCCGGGGCATGCTGGGAGTTGTAGTTCTCCGGGAGGGGGAAGAGCAAGCCAGGGAGAAACGAGCGACTCCTAGACACGAGGGCTGCCGAGCATGTGCAGAGGGCGCGCCCCGCCTTTGCCTGGCTGGCCTCAGCCTCCGGAAGTCTGGCAAAGAGCGCTCCTCCTCTGCCCGCGTGCAGAGTGCCTCGGTTCCTTCGGCGGGTGGGCTGCCTCCCTCCGCCTCGGTCAAGGCTGCTTTCCAGGAGCCCAAACCCTGACCCTCCTTTTTTGGGGGGGGTTTGCTTTTCTCTCCCCCCCACCCCACCCCCTTTATGCAAAAAGGGCCTCTGAGCAAGTGCAGAGGGCCACACACCCTCCGCACCCTGCACTTCTAGGAGTGGTTCAGACGATCTCCGCAACACGCATCTTTTTTTAAAAAAACTTTCCCATCAAGATTGCGGACCGAGAGACCTCAGCAGGGCTGGGGATTCTGAGAGTTGTAATCCAAAAAGGAGGTAACCGTTCCACATTCCATATATATAGTCTCATTTTTTCCACATTTTTGGGAGGTCTCTGCAGCACCTTGAAGCAGCACCCCAGGGGTGGAACACTTGCACCCGGACCCCCGGGTGGGGGGGGGATGCCAACCCCTGCTCTAGGAGGGGGTGGCTTTCAAATAACAGACGGCCAGGTTAGACCCAACCGGGGGTCCAACTCTCTCGGATTCTGGATGCCGCCAAGAATAAAACCATCTTTCCCCCTTCCGGGATCCCTCTTTGGTCTTTACAGAACACAACGCTTCCGTTTAATTCAATTTTATTTTTTTTTAATGAATGCTTTTTTGTACGCAAAAAGAGCTAAAAAATAAATATGTTATTACAAAATAGTTACTGTACCTGCTACTAGATCACGCACAAGAGCCCCTAGAGACAGAGGAGGGCTAACATTATACATCAGGGGTTGTTCTGTTTTGGCATTCTTGAAAAAGGGTGTCCCTGGCTACACCCGGAGACCGGTGTCCCTGGCCACACCCGGAGACCTTCTTGGGCTGGCTGGGGAAAAAACAGAGCACCAGATTTGGGGGGGGGAAGCAATGTTCAGACCCTGCTTGAGGGAAGAGGGGGAAAAATGGCAACGTGGGAACGGCCCCGTCCCCATCGGAACGATTCGGGAGAAGGAGAAAGCCAAACCCGCAACTCTCTCGGCTTGGGATCCACTGAATGTTTTTCAAAAAGGCAAGCTTCCAGCCTCTCCAGAACGCTGCATCAGGCGAGACTAGACAAGATCAGGCAGGGAGGTGTGCAACTCCCCCCCATCACACACACAAATGTGTGTGGGGGGGGGCTCTTTTAAGCCATACACCAGTGGAATTAGTCAGATCTGCAACCGTGACGAGAGCAGAATACACTAATTCCGCTGGCTTGGAATACGGTGTCGTCCCGGACAACTGGGGCCGAATTAAGGCTGAGACCGACGGGCCCGGAAGAAGGCAGCCAAGTATTTATGAATGGTCGGGGGGGGGGGTTTCCTCCTGGGAGGAAGGAGAATTCATTCTGTGCACCGAGAAGCCCAGGTGGACAGTAAGAGCTGCCCGCTGGTGATGACCTGGCCTCCTCCTTCCGTGGAGGTTTCAAACCAGAGGCGAGAGGCCCCGGGGGTCAGAAGATGCTTGCTTCTGGGCTTCCTGCTTCAGCCAGGGTGTGTGTGTGTGTGCGTGTGTCAAGAGGACAGGACCACAGGGGTCCATCTCTTCACCCCCCCCCACTTTCCAGCTCTGTCGTTCTCACAGAGGAAGACCTCCAGAGACCCGAAAAGTCTGGCGATCCGGGCGCTCTGTTGTCGATCCTAACAAAGGCCAGCGGACGTTGCCTTCTTCCCCATCGATCAATACAAACACCGTCTGTTTTGGACTTTGGATAAGAAGAGACCGCGAGAATGTTAAGTGGAGAAGAACCGAGCGAGGGAGCCAGACGGAGCCTCGACCGTGCGCAAGAGGGGACAGGAGGCGGTTGAGACATCTCCGCATCCACTCTGCAGGGACACCGGTATGCATATGATGTGGAAGCTGGAAACAATCTTGACCCAGTTCCTCTAGCCAAGATGCAGAGATATTTCACACACACCCCAGGAGTGCCTGGAACTTGGGGGAGGGGACAACAAATCCCATTCTCCAGGATGTGCTCTGCCTGCAGCCACGTGTCTGCTAGCTTTGCACCCCTGCCTCAAATATTCCTCTTCACAACATTCTCCGTGCATGCGTTAGAATACATCTCAGGGCATCGGAATGGAAAGGATAAAAATATGCATGAATAAAGGTGGATAAAAGAGGGGTGGGGAGAGAATTAACCTAATTAAAAAAAAAAATTAGTGCCCTTAAGGGGAAAAAAATGAGCATCAACTCATATAGACCAACGGTGTTACAGTCCCAATGTTTTTCTGGAAAAGGTTTTGAAGGGTTCGGCTACATTGGGTGGATCAAGATGGGGGGGGGCGTGCTCTTAAGAACGCCTGGTGGACGCTAGAGGTCATTACAAAATCTCAGTGTTCTTACACAGTTAGGATGATGGATTTTTGCCTCAAGTCACCTCCCTCCAGGCACACACCATCTTTTTAAAGTGAAACTAAAACAGCAGTGGTATGCAAAGAGCCAGGTACAGTATTCGGATGGGGTAAAGCCAGGGAGTGAGACCCAGTCAGGGCGGTGGTCCTCGAGCCAATTGTGACTGTCAGTGACAATGGGGTTGTGAACCTATTCAAAACACAGAATTGTCGTGCTTTGTTGGAACTAAGATGTGACCCAGCCAACCCTCCGCTGAGTCCAACTGCACTCCGGGTGGGACAAGCTGTGGAATTCAAATGAGATTTTGGGGGGAGCGTGCGGACAGGCTCTTATACAAAAGGAAGCTTATAAAAAGAAATACAAAACAACCTCATTCCAAAACATGAATTTAAAAAAACTTTTACGTTTTTTTTTCAGTAAAAAAAAAAAACATAACCACACACAAACAAAAAAAACCTACCACTTCATAGACACCGGGTTTTGTACCCCAAGAAACAGGAAGAAAATGGGGCTAGGGCTTCAAAAGTACCATAACAAGATCATTGTGCCGAGAGAGCAGGAGAGGACTGGGGAGACAGGAGCTCACCTGGCAGACAGAGAGACAGACAGACAGGTGAGAGGGAGGTAAAAGGTCTCACCTGATTCCCCAAACCTCACAAACCTGCTCGCGGGAGAGCAGAACGCAGAAGTCCGACAGTCCCAGGACATCACTGGGTTTCTGCGCGGGACCCCTGGGAAGACGGTGTAACATTCAAAAAGTGGCCAGCCTGTGGCCAAAGCGCCCCGGATGGGGACCAAATTGAAAGAAAATATATAAAGTTTTCCCATTGTAAGATTGCCAGGCAGAGAGGCAACAGGAAGGCAGAGGTCACGTGAATCCAGGGACCTGAGTCAAAGGGTGTTTTTAAAAAAGGAAAAAGGTGGCTGAGCCAGCCACGAGACTTTTATAAAAAAAAAAAAAGATAAAAATACAAAAAAAGAGAGAGAAGTCTCCCTGGTATAGAAGCCCACAGGACGGCAGCCTGAGTCTAGCTGGAAGGAAAGGATCCGCCCGTCTCAGGAGGCTGCAGAGAGACCACAAGTGACGTGGAAAAACCGTGACCCCCTGGCCACGCGATGAAACGGAACGGCTCTGCTGGTGACAGATATGATGTCAGGAAGGCTAGGATGGGTTTTGGGTTCTAAGGCAAGTCACAGTGACAGAAAGATATTGCTGCTTCCTCCAAATTGGGCCTACGGTAAGGGGCTGATGGGCCCCATCACTCCAATAAATCCGGAGGCCCCAGTTGGAAGAAATGCTACCAGGCGGCACGGAAGGAAGCCCCATGGAGGGTCCCTTCCTTCCTGTCTGCGTCACAGCAGGAATCTCACCGACAGGGTGAGGATCCAGAGGAGTCAAAACTGTGTCGGGACAACGGGAAGGTTTGGCCCACCCTGGACGATACCCGAAGGTGACCAAAGACAGGTGAGGTCAGAGGTTTTCGGAAGGCTCTGTGTGAAAGAGGCCACATCGGTGAGGAGGAGGAGGAGGAGGAGGCCTGATCGGAGCCGGCAGACTTCGGCCGGATCACATGACGTCGACGAAGAACTCGCTGGGGTTGCCCATGGCCATGTGGAAGGACTGGCGGCTGGCCGTGAGCTCAGGGGGCACGGAGCCCAAGTCACGGACGGGAGGTGCCCCGGGGGGCTGCACGGCCGCGGCGGAAGGGGCAGAAGGTGGGGCGGGCGGCGGTACCATCATCACCACCATGGGGTTGTAGGCCAGGGGCATGCCCCCCGGGGCGGCATAGGCCGCGTGCAGGGAGTGGCTACGCTGGGAGGCCCCCTCCCCGCTCGGCCCCGCCGGGGGCCCCCCGCGCTGGCTGCCACTGCGGGTCGAGTACTCCGACTCACTCCCGCTTCCAGACTTGGAGTCGGCCCCAGCCTTCTCCTCCTTCTGCTTCCCGGGCCCACGGCCGCCACCGCCTCCATCGCTACGGTTGGACCCGCTGCTCCGGCTGCCTGGAAAGACAAAAACGAAGCCCACGTCGGCCAGGGGAGCGGAACCGCCCGCCTCCTCCTGCCCCCGTCCCAAACTTGGCTTTGGAGGAGAAGGAGGACAAAACCCGAAAGCACAAGGACGCTTCCCCACCCGGCGGATCGTCTTCTCGGCCCGTTATGTAACCCGAGAGGTCTCTTTTGGCAAACAGAGCCTGGCTCTGGGCTATCGTGCTCCCGATGGGACTTTTGAGGGCCACATGTTCGTTGGGGGAACGAAACTGCCGGGGTGGGGGAATGAGCGGGTGGGTTGACCGGGGGGGCTGGACTCCCACCCTCCCGAGGTTATCCAGAGCACCCCCAGACTTACCTTCGCTGTGCTGGCTGCCGGCACTCCCCATGCCGTAGCTGTAGGAGGACAGCTCATGGTACGGCGGGGGCTGAGTGCTGTACGGATGAGGCGCTGGGTACTGATAAGAGAAGGTGGGCATCAGAGGCCAAGGGGTGGCGCCCGGCAGGGGCAACGGGGCCAGCGTGTCCTGGTCGGAAGCCCCGCTGGAGCCATCGTTGTCATTGAGGGAGAGGTTGGCCATATCTGGAGAAGGAAAAGAGGGAACCGTCAAGAGGGGCGCGGCATCGGGTAGCCAGGAAAGGATCGGAGGCACCACCAACCCGTTGTTCATTGATCTGGAGCCCCAGACGTAGAACAGGTAACCCAGGCATCGGACCATTTAGGACGACATGCGGGTATCCTGTTATGCCAAGGGAAAGCTCAGTCCTGGCTCTAGGATTCAGGCTTTTCAATAGGTCTGATCACAGAGAAGAAAAAAGGAAAAACAGGCAGGAAGAGTTTAGGACCGGAGAGAAAGCAAACATAGAATGGACTAATAGCAGAGAGCCGACAAATGAAGTTGTCGTTCCTTTCCTGAAAATAAAGTCTGCTCTATTAGAACAAGAAGGACACAGAGAGAGACAAACAGATCTGTCATTAAAGAGATCCATGCAATTCCCTTTGCAGGGAAACTTTGTCAATATTGGCCCCCAAATGAACCCAAGCACGAAACCGTTTTTCTTCTTTTCCAGCTGCAACTCCAAGATTAATGACCTGCGGTCGCCCAAAAAAAGAAAAAAAGCTTTCAAGAAAGCCACTGTAAATATCTCAGCAGGACTGGCTTTGGCCAGCAAACAACACCGAATTCAGAACAATGCTCTAGAAGGCTCCTCTGATTTCTGTACTTCTCACCAACTACCTAGAGAGGCTCGGGAGAGAGCCGAGCAAAGTTCTAATCCCATGGGAACTCTCTCTATCAATGCCACGGTCAGCATTCGGATATTTGAGGAGGCGGCAGGCAGAGATAAATAAGCAAACCAAACAGGCAGACGTGGATACAGCAAGAGATGCCAGCGGCCAAAGGCAGTTGAGACCGGCCGCGCGAGTTCGGTGCTACAAGGCAGCTATGATACACCCCGGCCCTCTTACAGTTCTCGCAGCCGCTGAAGTCCCCGAAGATGTAGTAGCACTGCTCCGAGAAGGTGATCTTGTTGACGGTGTGTCTGATGAAGCCAGCCTTCAAGAGATTGCTGGCGTACTTGCGGGCTTCCCGGCGGTCCTGGAACCCTTCGACGTGGTGGTACAGCCAGTCCACCACATCTGAGCCTGGGACAGGGTGGGGAGGAGTGGGGTGGTGGTGGAGGAGGAACAGAAGTCAGGTCCCTAGCGAGCGAGCGAGCGAGGGAGATGGTCTTATGGCAGCCTACCCGCCACCCACGACCCTCCAGATACATCAGGCCACAACCGTCTTCAGCAGAGGGATTGTGGGAGGTGTGGTCTTGATCCAAATGGGTTGGATCTGAGGAAGGGTCCCAGTCTCCAGAGGCCACCGTCTCAATTTTGGTAGAGGATTCCTCTCCCTCCCTCCCTTCCCAGTTGCCACGTCTTCCCCAACTGATACCTAGGAAAGCGTTAGGGATGGTGATCTTGAGCCACATCCGATCGCGCACCTCCAGGCCAGACTCAGGGGAAGCCATTGCCTTGGTAACAGAGGCCATGTCCGTGTGGATGGACAGGTTGAAGTCATCAAAGCCTGAGGAAGCAAGAAAGGTTTGTGGGGGTGGGCAGAGAAATAAAGCAGAGAACTGGAGGCTCCTCATTGATTAAAAATGTTTTTTACCCTGCCTTTCTCCTTGGAAAAGATCCAAGGCGGCTTATATCGTCAAGACTGCTGAGAGCTGAGGTCCCGAAACATCTGGGGGACCCCACTCAATGGCTCCCCCTTGCTCCGCCTCAAGCAGAGAGCCCTGAGGCAGCTGTCGAAGGCTGAGCCTCTGTGGCCACCCGACTGCTGGGGAGGCCTCCTCCCCAAGCTGGCTGAAAGCAACCACACATTTCCACACCGATTGAAGCCCTGAGAAACGTGGGCATTTCGGCTGATGGAGCTCTGTCCCCCGACTGACTGCAATCATGCTCCCTCTGAGCACTGCAGCACCAGGAGGATGCTGAGGTGGGAGAGGGGGAGGCACAAGCAGGCCCACCCCAGGCCTATGCACGTGGATAAAACCTCCAAGGCCTGGCTAGGGCTGGCCTCAAAGAGGGAGGCACCTGCTGAAGCCATGGGGCTTTTCCAAAGTCCCACCCACCCCCCGAGGGCCTCCTTGTAAAATACTTACGGCCCATCATTAGGGGGCACTCGCGTTCTGTCTCCGTGACGGAGGTCCCCGAGGTGATGGTGCTCATGGAACTGCTGCCTGGGTAAGCGGCAAAGGCCCCGGTCAGGGCCGCGGAATGGGACACCCAGGCCGCCGGGTCAATGGGCTGGATGGGCTCATCTGGACACACAAGAAGGGCCGACGTTAAACCAGAAAGCAGGATTTCAACGCGCCAAGGATCCCGACGCCTCCCTGGCCCTTCCTCCCCCTTTGATCAGCCTTCTTCCAGAGACACCGCCCTACACCTCCCTGTCGGCCTGTGGAGATTATGGGAATGGCAGACCCAAACATCTGGACGAGAAGCCTGGCTTCCGGAGGGCTAAATTCAGGGGTCGTTTGGATCTGGAGCCTGGGCTGTTAGGCAGGGGGGCGGCTAGAACACAGCGAGGAGGGGCAGGTCCCTGACCGTGGCCACTTTGGCCACAGAGGACGGACAGGGTGGGATCGCCCTGTTCAATGAGGCAGAGGTCGGGCTCCGCCTGAACGCTTAGGGGAAACCCCACCTGGCAAGGCCTAGAGGGGTTTGCAGCTGCAGCCGACTCAGCCCCGTGGAGAAGCCCCCCCAGAAACCCCACAGCCCCTGATAAGGTGCCCTAATGCTTACTTCTAGGCAAGGTGAAGTACCCTTGTGGAGAGGGGTCCCAGCACTTGGCCACTGTCAGCACGATCGGGCTGCAAAGGAAGGGAGGACGTGAGACCACAGGGAGGGGCAGCCGAAGGAACAGCAGCCGAGCATCGCCACTCAAGTCCCCCCCCGTTCTCCCACAGGACCGCAAGGGGACCGCAAGGAAGGGGAGCGTCACCCACCCTGGCTTGTGGACAATCTCCCTCAGGACTCTCACGGCGTCGTCGTTGCTCATGTTCTCAAAATTGATGTCGTTGACCTGGGATGCGGGAGAAGTGCATCATTTTTCCGGGACTGCTTGCAACTCAGGGCTCCCCAACCTCTATCCACGGGGACCGACCTTCCGAACCCCCCACACCACACCACCGAGGCTCCCGGTCACCCTCACCTGGAGCAGCATGTCTCCCGGCTCGATTCGGCCATCCGCAGCCACCGCCCCACCTTTCATGATGGAGCCAATGTAGATGCCGCCGTCACCTCGCTCGTTGCTTTGGCCCACAATGGAGATTCCCAGGAAATTGTACTTTTCTGCCGGGGGGGGAGGATTGGAGGTGGAATCAATGTAACGCTAAGGCTAGGCTTTGCTACTTATCGGGGGGGGGGGGGGAGACGGGCAGGGCGGCTGCCACAGCCAACCTTCAGCCAACACGACAGGCTAACCCCTGAACTGCTCGGCCACCAAGGGCTGGCCAGCCTTCTCTTCCCCTGGCACTTTCCTGACGTTCTCCTCTTCCCTGCCGAACCCTAGAAATGGCTCTCCTTCCCTGATTCTGAGCAACTGGATGCGGCGATCACCCACCGTGAGCCATCCCACACAAACGGCTGCCTTCTGCGTTTTGGACTTCAACTCCCAGAATTCCCCCCCCCCGGTTGAGGTATTCTGAGCTTTGTGGTTCCCACCCGCCCCACTCATTTTCTTCTCCATCTTTGCCACTGGCAAAGGTACATTCCGTTTTGGACTTCAACTCCCAGAATTCCCCCCCCCCGGTTGAGGGATTCTGAGCTTTGTGGTTCCGACCCGCCCCACTCGTTTTCTTCTCCATCTTTGCCACTGCCAAAGGTGCATTTCAGGTGCGCATCTCTCACCCATGTTCAAGGTAACGGTGATGATGTTGAGGGACATGGTGGAGTCCGTGACGCTGCTGAAGGAGGAAGTCTAGAATGGGGAGATACAAAGGTTGTCAATCATCCTGACCCCCTTGTACCTCCCTTCCACAAGACTACCACCCCCTGCTCTAAGGCTGAGCCCCCCCCTCCCAAGCCTTGTGCTTACCCGCTCCAGACGCGGGGGGCGCTGCTTCCTCCGCCTACGGTGGCGCTTGAGAAGGCGGGAGGCACTGCTCTGCTCGGTGGAGCTGCTGAATCTGAGGAGGAAAAAGGCCAACGGGGGGGGGCAGCTAAAGCCCCGCTAGAAACTGAAGGGCACGCGGGTGGCACCGCCCGTCCCCCAATCTGAGAAGAGTGAAATGAGAAACGCTGCTTCCCCCCCTGAGGGGGTTGAGCTGCTCTCCCCAAAGCTCCCGCCCGGCGTCTCTACGTTAAGACCGTAAGAAAAAACGCAGGGCGCTGACAAATGTGGAAACAGGACGATACACAAAGAAAGCAAACCTCACCAGGGCTGACACCCCATGAAAAATTCAGCATCGTGACAGACTGACCACTGGACTGAGAGGAGACTTAATTAAATGCCCTCCCAAGCATCGTTCAGCCTTTGCTATCTTACCGGTTGCTACGCTACCAGTGAAGCTCGACAATATTAGGTGTGATGGGCTCAAGGCCTCGTTCATTCAAGAGGGCTTTCCACGTTTCTCTTTGCTCAAAAGACCCACGGCAGATGCCTGGCCTGTCTCACTCTTCAAAAGCTCCGGGGTCCCGAGGGAAGAGTGTTTTCGAAACAAGTAGCTTGACAAAATATTGACAGCCACGCGCCCAGGTGTCCCCAGGGCTGCTCCCCGGCTCACCTGCTCATGGTGTCGTCGTCCTCGGAGTCGCAGAGGCTTGTGGTCTCCAGCTCGCTGGTGAGAAGGGTGGAAGAACTCTCGTACCCGGCCAGGTGGCGCTCCAGCCTGGGCTGACCGTTCAGACGGTGGCCGCCTGGGGCAGAAGGGGGAGGCGTGGGTGTCTGGCTGGCTCGCCAAGGGTCACTCGCCTGCCTTGCTGCTCCTTCTCAGCCAATGGAGAAAAGGCGCCCCCCTGACCCCCCCGGGGGTTTGGGGCTCCCTGACAGCCACTAACCTCCGTGCTCCATGCTCTCCCTGCGCCGCGGCCGCTCCCGCCGCAGCGAGGCCACCGACTCTGTCTCGGTTTCATGGTCCAAGTTCTCGTGGCTGCCAGAGACGTTGGGGCTGCAAAGGCAGGAAAAAGCCCGGCACCCTGGCTAAGTCCGTCACAGCCCCATGTTCAAGATCTGTGCCAGTAAGTACCCCAAAAAGACGCCCCCCCAAAGTCCTCGACAGCAGAGAGCCAACGCCTCCTGAGTCCTTCTGCCATATCTGCCTTCACCCCCTTGTTTTTTGTGAGCTCTTTGACTCGATGGGATTCCGGTCCTTCCCAGTCACAGAGCAATCCCACCCCATCATGCAGAGGCCTCTTGCCTCAGGTCCCTCCCCCCCACCCCATTCGCTTCCCCCTTTACTCACTGGAAAGAAGGGGGCCGGGAATCCCCAATGCCGCTGGTTCGCTCCACAGGCAACGGAGGAAGCGAGGGAGGCGGCGGCGAAGGTTCTGGCCGTACCTCGATAGGAGGGGGTGGTGGAGGCGGCTCAGGCTGCGGCGTCTCCGAGGAAACAAGCTGTGTTGGGAAAAGAAAAAAGAAAAACGCATGCTGAGCATCCCATCCTCATCTCTGCAGTCTAGCTCATTTAAGAGCTGAAAAAGCCCATCAGCTCCCACTGTGGCACAGTTAGACAACCAGAGGGGTACTAAGAAATTATTCGGGTACCAATTCATTTAGAATATTTCTATCCCACCTTTTTCCCCAAAAGGACCCAAGGCGGCTTACGTAATTAGAACAATGTTTAAAAACCAAAAACTGTAAGTATACAATCGTTTTTTTAAAAAAATTAAAGTATTATATTAAAATGGTAACTAAGATCAATATTAAAACAAGTTTAAAAGAACAGATCTATTAAAAACCATTCTTAGACCATCAGGCATTAAGGAAAAGCCTGCCTGAAGAGGTCTTTGCCTCCCTGTGGAAGGACAGCAAAGATGGGACCAGGCTGGCTTCTCCTGGGGGGGAGTCCCAGAGACTAGGAACAGCAGAATGGCGGTATTGAGAGAAAGGCCTCACCTGGTGATCTTAATGCCCGGGCAGGCTCATCAAGGGAGATGCGGTCTTTGAGAGAGCCTGGATCCAAGCCATTGAAGGGCTTGGTAGGCTAAAACCAGCACTCTGAATTGTGCCAGGAAACGTATCGGCAGCCCGTGGAGCTGCTGGAACAGGGGCGTTACATGTCCCCTGCAATCAGCCCCAGTTAACAATCTGGCTGTGGAATTCTAGATCTTTGTGGAGTTTCTGGACACTTTTCAACAGCAGCCCCATGTAGAATGTGTTACAGTAATCCAGCCGAGATGTAACTGGGGGATGTGTCCAAATCAGAGCTCTCAAAGCAATAGGTGCAGCTGGCACACTGATTTTAACTGTGGAAAGGCAGTTCTGGCCACAGCTGAAACCTGGGCATCCAGGCGCACAAGATGAATCCAGGAACCCACTCCAACTGTGTGTCTGTGTTTTCAGAGGGAGCGTGACCCCCCCCCTCCAGCACAGGCTGCAACCTCCACTCCCAGAATGTTCCCTGGGTCTTGACGGAGAAGAGTAAGAATCTTCTAGGCCTCTCTATATTCTGGACTTCAGCTCCTGATGTCCTTTGCCACCGGCTACTACCTGATGGGAGATGTTAACTGCGAAGAGTCAAAGATCCCCACCCATCCCACAAGTGGGGCACAAGAGCCATCAATATGCCTTCCCTACAGACTGTAACCAAGACAGGACTCGACACCAATCCAAGTGTCACACACTATTCCTTAAGGTTAAGATATCACAAGCAGGGGTGAGATGAGGGGGGTCTTGAAAGCCTTGAAATAAAAATCAGAGGTGCTAACTTCGTACCCAGGAAACAACTCTGCCGTTGAAGCAAGGGAGCTTGGCGTTGTCATCAGAAATTTCTTCCTTCACGACCCTTCAGGGAGGACAAGAAAATAAAGCAAGGCTATCACCAGCGGTGCCTGGAATACATCTCCAAAGTGACCGGAAGTCCTCGGGCGCCCACCCAAATACAGGGAGAGAGATGTTCTGGATGCCTGGGGCTGCTCAGGATTAACGGAGAAGGGGCCATACTCAAATGCTAATCCGAAGCCCCCTTTTTCGCTCCTGGATGCCTGAGCAAAAAGCTTGGCAAAGTGTTTCTCCCCCCCCCCGTCCGCTGCTCCCCAGGAGACTACAAACAGCACCCCACCCACGTTCTAGAATTCCAGTCTTTTCTAAGATCTGGCAATCTGTGGCTGGCTAAGTGACCTGCTTCCGCTCAGAGAAGAGACCAGGAACCTTTGCTTTCAATCTGTGTCAAACAGCAGAGAGGGCCCCTGATATGGACTTGGGGGCAGAGGGATGACCTTTGGGGAGGGCCCTTGCATCTCAGAGAGAGAGAGAGAGAGAGGCCTCCGGCTATGGAGCCAAAGACTGGGCGTTTGATTCCCTCTGGTGGTGCCGCTTTGGTAGGGGCTGATCTCCATGATCCACAGGGCCCCTTCTAGCTCTGCATGCGTGTGTGTGTGCGTGGGTGGGGGGGGGCAGGTCCCTTTCTCTCCCAGGCTTCTGCAATAAGTGTCTGGGCACCTGTGTCACCTGGTGTCTGCCTATAACCTGGAAGAGGAAAGACTAGCCCCGAGATGGGGGTGCACTGAGGGAAATGGAGG